GATCTGACTGAGTTGAATAAGCTTCGATATAAATGTGGCTTTTGAGTTACTCAACCTGGAACAAAAACAAATACTGAAAAACATATTATAAATTGTTTGTAAAATCATCAAAATAAGATTCAAAAGTAGGCTCATATATATGAGTCCTAACAATCTCCCCCTTTTTGATGATGACAAACAATTTTCTAATTTGATATATAAATACAGTTCAATAGTAACTGAAGATACAAAGCAAACTGTGAATACTCACATATTCTCCCCCTTTGTCACCATCAAAAAGGGGATAAGAGACAAAAGGAGATTGAAAACTCCCCCTACCTATAAGCACGAGTGAGTAGAAAAAAAAATAGGAAATGCTCCCCCTATTTAAAAGCCACAATGATATATAAAAGATAAGATTATGAGGGTAATATAAATATCCTATATAGGCATGCATTTGCTACAACTAAAAAAAGGCATGAGGTTTAAGAGAGCAAATATAAACATCCAAACACACTACATTTGCAAGCCAGAAAAGTCAAACCACATAGTTTAAAAAAACAACATCCCAACAAAACATAGAGTTTTACTACATCATAGAATAAAACATCGTTCAACAACACATAAACCAAAAGAATACATCACAAGCCAAATGATAACAGCCCTCATGGAGCAGATGGCCCTGGACCCGGTGGAAGATAAGGATGCTGAACAGCCCTGAACCCTTATTTAAAAGCCACAAGGATATATAAAAGATAAGATTATGAGGGTAATATAAATATCCTATATAGGCATGCATTTACTACAACTAAAAAAAAGGCATGAGGTATAAGAGAGCAAATATAAACATCCAAACACACTACATTTGCAAGCCAGAAAAGTCAAACCACATAGTTTAAAAAAAACAACATCCCAACAAAACATAGAGTTTTACTACATCATAGAATAAAACATCGTTCAACAACACATAAACCAAAAGAACACATCACAAGCCAAATGATAACAGTCCTCATGGAGCAGATGGCCCTGGACCCGGTGGAAGATAAGGATGCTGAACAGCCCTGAAAAGATCGTCAAATCTGCTAGTAAGGATCTTCAAATCAGTATGCTGATGAGTCCTAATCCCACCAAGCTCCCTCCGAATAGCATCTTGAGACTCCCTAATCTCTGTTTGAGAGGACTCAATCTCAGCAAATCTCATCCTAAGATCCGTATGAGAATCATCTAACACATCAAGTCTAGTCTTGAGATCCCTATGAGACTCCTCTAACATATCAAATCTCACTTGATCTTGATGGTTCCAAAACTCAGCCTCAGCATGATAAGACTCCATCTGAGCAAAAAGATCCTCAATATAACTAGGGGTATGAGAGGGGAGATGCTCATCTCTAGGGCTATGACTGGGAGGAGGAAACTCTCTATCAGAACCAAGAGGATCAGGAGAATGAGCACGAGCTGAAGGATTATGAAGCTCATGGAAAGAGACATGTAACTCCATCCTACGCAGGACTGATCTATCAAAAAGAGGACGATCTGGAAGGTGGATTTCATCAGTCAAATCAATCCCGAAATGGAGGAATACTTTGGTGAGAAGAGCACCAAAAGGGATAAAGGTAGAGGGATTGGATTCCAGGAACATGGAAGATGCTAAGGATAGCCAAAGCAGTGGGAGCAGCATTTCAGATACAGATGGATCTGAGTACATGGATAGCAGTGGGAGCAGCATTTCAGATACAGATGGATCTGAGTACATGGATATAGAGGAACTTCCAGATAGGAGTGATGATGTTTGTTCTGATCAGAACAGATGGATCTGAGTACATGGATATAGAGGAACTTCCAGATAGGAGTGATGATGTTTGTTCTGATCAGAGAATAGAGGAGGCTCCAGGTGCAGAAGAAACTATCCAGGGCATGGAGCTTAGGAGGTCATCCAAGGAGGAGATGGATTCTCTACTCACTAATGAGACGTAGGAGTTAGCCCAGTTATCTGCTTATAAGAAGATCTTACATAATAAATGGATTTACTGGGTCAAGCAAGAGATTGATGGAAGCAAGAGATTTAAGGCCAGATTAGTAGTAAATGGGTTTTAACAGCGGGAAGGAGTGGACTACACAGAGATATTTTCCCCTGTTGTGAAGCTCACAACCATCAGAGTGGTGTTGAGTTTGGTGCCTGCAGAAGACCTCTTTCTTTAGCAGTTAGATGTGAAGACTGCCTTTATTCATAGTGACTTGGATGAAAAAATCTACATGAAGCAGTCTGTTAGCTTCATTGAAGAAGGAAAGGAAAAAATTATGTGCAAGCTCAAGAAGAGCTTATATGGTTTGAAACAAGCTCCGAGACAATGGTATAAAAAGTTTGATAATTTTATGCAGAACAATGGCTACAAAAGATGCAATTCGGATCATTATTGTTATTTCAAAAGGTTCGAGTTCAGCTTTATTATTTTGTTATTATATTTTGATGACATGTTGGTAGCAAGACCGTGTTTAGAGGAGATAAACAGTTTGAAGAAGAAACTAGCAAAGGAATTTACAATGAAGGATCTGGGTACAACGAAGCAGATTCTAGGGATGCGAATTAGTAGGGATGAAGCTGAAGAGACATTAAGATTGAGCCAAGCTGAATACATTGAGAATGTACTTCAGAGGTTCAATATGCAGAATGTTAAAGTTATTAGCACACCCCTTGGAAGTTAGTTCAAGCTATCTGAGGAGCAATCGCCTAAGACAGATGCAGATAAAGAGCATATGAGCAGAGTGCCATATTCTTCGGCCATTGGGAGTCTCATGTACGTGATGGTTTGCACAAGGCCGGACATCGCCCATGCAGTGGGAGTTGTGAGCAGGTTTGCTAGCAATCCAGTGAAGCAGCATTGGGAGGCCGTGAAGTGGATATTGTGGTACTTGAGGGGAACAACAAATAAACCACTATGTTTCAGGAGGAAGGAGTTGGTGCTGCAAGGATACGTAGATGCGGACTTCGTCGGTGATCATGATACGAGGCGAAGCACCACTGGATATATTTATATCTTAGCATCGACAACAGTGAGCTGGGTCTCATGTCTATAAAAGATTGTGACTTTATCTACAACCGAGGCTGAGTATGTCACGGTGACTGAAGCAAGCAAGGAGATGATCTGGTTGAACGAGTGCTTGGAAGAGTTGGATTTGAAGCAAGGGAGAGGAGTTCTTTATTGTGACAGCCAGAATGCTATACATCTTACCAAGAATCCAGTATATCATGCCAGAATAAAGCATATCGACGTCAAATACCATTTTATATGCTCGCTAGTTGAAGACGGAAAGTTACACTTAATGAAGATTTTGGGGAGTCAAAATCCGACGGACATGTTGACGAAGGCAGTCACCATTGAGAAACTGGAGTTATGCGCAACTTCAGTTGGCCTTCACGTGCACACTATGAGGATCGACAAAATTGCCAGGATATTGATGATTGAAGAATGAATTTTTCCAAGTAGGAGAAGATGCTTGCGAAGAAGGCAGAGTTTGGGAGAGCTCATTGATGGTGGTTTGATCTCCAAGTGGGAGATTGTTGGTCTTGAGAGTGGAGACCTAAACCTAGAATCAAAATTAACAATCGCATAAAAATTTAAGACAGACAATAGGTGTAGTGTCTGTCACACTCTGGTGTGGCAGAATCTGCCCTGTCTGCCATGGGTATGGTATCTGCTATACCCTAGTGTGATAGAATCTGCCCTGTCTGCCATGGATATGGTGTCTGCCACACCAGGGTGTGACAGACTCGTTTTAGAATTCTAATCTGTTTAGGATTGTGTTTGTTATAAATAGAAACACATCTCTTAAGGGTTTAAGAGGGAAAAAGAGCACGAAAAAGAGAGTTTTTGAGGGCTCTTTGAGATTAGAAATCTTAGAGAGAGAGGCTAATTGCAAGCATTGTAATCTTCTTCAAGTAATCAAAGAATTGTGTGGTGTGGCTCTCGAGAACGTAGGCACGTTGCTGAACCTCGTTAAATCTGGTATGTTCTTTCTTGTTTACTTTCCTACAAGTTTTTATCTTTGATTTATGGTGAATTTTTTTCTTGCTCAACTCTCAAACACAAAATCCGGAAGGGTACAGATTTGATTTGATTATTTCGAATCTCCAACACTGTCAACTAATTTAGCAAGAGATATCAGAAGATAGGAGTAGTGAAATTCACTTAGGCCCCGTTTGACAAAGGGTTAATGAAGAGGGGTTAAAGAGAAGAATTAATGTACTTAGCCCATTTGATAATTCGAAGGACTAAATTATTAACCCGTTAAATAAGTTTTATTTTAGCCATTATGATCAGTTTTAGTGTTTGGGAATAACAATGATTTTGACTATTTTCTTTATAATTAGAAGAGTTAACTCTTATTCCATCTAAATAGGAGTATTAGTAAACCCATTATTTTGAGGGGTTAACTCATTTTAACCCCTCTAGAGGGGTTAACTTAACCCTTCTATATTTTTTATGTTTGACAAATTATGGAGGGTTAACTCACTTTAACCCTTATATAGATTTGTTGTGTTTGGTAGGTTAAGAAGGGGTTAAGTCTCCTCAACTCCTCACTTAACCCTTTGCCAAACGGTACCTTACGGGACTAACAAATTTGAGTCTTATTGCTAGCATGGTATATGGTAGCCTAATTAGTAAAATGACTTGAAACAAGCTAGCTAGCTACTATTAATAATATTCAACATTTGAGTACTATCAGCCTAAATTAAAATATTGGATTCCAAAATTGAAAATCCAAACTATTAGATGTGATCTAATATAGATCAAGCATTCAGGAATAAAATTTGGAAAAATCTCAACATGGTTTACCCATGCATCTATCATGTGTTATAAAAATTAATGTTTCAAATTTCTTAAATACAGATGATATATATGCAGGCAGGTCATATGTGCCACCGTATTCGAAAGTTTGGATTCTCAATTTTAGACGAATAAAAATAGGATATCGGTCTATGTATTAACGATTTGTTTCATGATAAATTAATTTGGAAATAGGCATGGACCAACGGCCGAGTGTACTCCCCGATGCACCGTGTAGTGGTGGGCGGCAGCGTGATGAGGTACTCCTCAATCCTCTTCTCCATCCCCAACGACGATGTCGTGATCCAAGCCCCGCCTGAGCTCATCGACGCTGACCACCCGCCGCTCTTCAAGCCTTACGACTACGGCAGCTACGTACGCTACTGCTTCACTGAGGAGGGCCAGAAAGCAAACCCTCAGCTTGATGCCTTCTGTGGTTTGAGCAAGCAACAGGAGGCTTAATTACGTGTGAAGTCTTTCTTTGGTCGAAACCTCTATTTGTATCGGCTATATTTTATTATACTAGTGACGTTTAAGGCTTCGGTTCAGTGTGTTTATGTTTAATTTGTATTCTGCAAGAAATTTCAACTCTTAAACAATTAATTTAAACAATAAGTGGCTTCTTAATTGTTTTAATGTTAGAATTAAACCCAGTTAGACTGTTCCAATTATATGTTGGTTATCTTTTTTTGCGAATGGGTAACAGACTGATTCACAATTCATCTTTAAAAAACACCAAAAACAAAAACGCTGGTTATTTTAATTGATTTTCGATAGAGAAAAAGGTAGCACTATAGAACTTCCAGTCTATTTAATGCCTTTTTAAAATAGTTTGCATCTTTTTGTTTGCCCAAATGCATTATATACACACAACCATATATAACTCATCTCCACACTTTGTTTATACTATCTGCAATATTATTGTTAATTTGTTGGTAATCACATCGTTTACTAGGTAGCAGCTGAGACTCCAATATTTTACTTCTCGCGTTGTCTAAAAGTCTCATTTATCTATGGAAGCCTCCCTTTGCCTTCTCAATTCAGTTCAATCAAATTCAATCACAAGAAATCGGAAAGAATGGGATCCTATACTCCCTTATCCATAAAACTTCAGAAGATCGACTTCTCCGGCATCGACACCTGTAATCTGGGGACCGGAGCGTGGTCCGGGAACAAATGACGGAGGCCTTGGCAACTTACGGATGCTTTGAGGCAGTGTATCCTAAGGTCGGTATTGAGCTCCGTAGCTTGATTTTGGATACTTTGATTAAGGATTTGTTTGCACTTCCTTTAGAGACTAAGCTCAAGAATTCCTCGGATATGCCTTTTCATGGTTATCTTGGTCAAATGCCTGAGTTTGTGTACGAGAGCCTTGCAGTTATGAATGCGGAGGATCCTCATGGAGCTCAGGCTTTCACTAGCTAGCTTAATGTACATAAACTTTAGGTAACTTTTTTTGAGGGGGTTGGTATAAATATAATGCACATAAACTTGGGTTTATTGTATTTTAATACTGATTAGGATATTCAAGCTATGTAGAATGTGATGAATTTAATCAGGAATTAGGGGCAAATACCTAATATCTTAAGTTTTATTGTTAAGATTGGTTTCTAACTTCTATTTAAGCCCCCACTAACTCCTAATTGGGCCTAATTTCTGCCTAGTTGCCCGACAACTCGTAGAAGATCAAAGGTTGAATGATAACCTTATAATAGGAGTAAGGGTACTTGATACCTAATAACTTAAGCTTTTATATTAAAATCGATTCTCAACTATATTTAAGGGTGATTAACTACATATTGGATCCACTTTCTCTCCCAAAGAATGCCCTAAAGTTGCATGATTTTTAAGGTACCCTAAAGTTTTAACTTGCCTAAATACTACCGTAACTTTCACCCTTCTACTCTACTACTCTTTGTTACATCTCCTTAAATTTGTCCCAAAAACTTCCTTTCTTTTTAATTCCTCCTTTTATTAGTTTCAGTTTTCCTTTTCAATTTTTATTGTGAATATTATTAATAGTTGTTAAGTGTATTATGTATGTTCGCATTTACAGCGAGAGAGTTCAATCTTAATTTCTCAAAACAGTTAGCGGAGCTGGAGCAAACGGTGATAAAGATGGCGTTTGAGGGGTTTGAACGTAGAAAAACACTCACCAAGATAAGAATTCCCTCAGCATTGTTTGTCAGAGCCAAGTTGATGGGCTTGAGATAGAGACCGAAGGATAGGGAATGGTATCCTGGCGTGCCTTCGCTTGATTCTATCGTTGTTGTCGCTGGGTATGGTTCTTTTGTGCATTTTTGTAGCATCGAACTTTGGAACTTATTATCCGTGCAGTTTGATTTCTTATTTTTATTCTAAATATATTTACTAATTTTCTAGCATTATTAATATATGTTTCTAGAGGCTAAGTATCAGAAACTCCGTTTAACTGTTGACGATTATTAGATAATCCTCCATAAATTCAAAAATATCAGAATACCCCCATTAAATTAGGGGCTATGAATAAACCCCTTTTTAACTTTAAGATTTTATATAAAAAGATCAGATCAATAGTGTTGACTCAATTTTCACTTGCAAATGGCTTACCTTTCATAATTTTACCCACACATAGGAAAATTGTGCCCATTAACACTGCTAACGAGGGTTTCCTAAAAAGAAAAATCTTAAAGTTAATGGAGATTTTATGACAATCCTTAGCTTAATGTGTGTTTTTTGGTATATGCAATAGTGGATCCAGGATTCTTGGAAAATCGTATCACTACGTAATTAATGTTTAAAAATTACAATTATTCCTAACGAGATTTCATACTTTGAAGCGATACATAATCGCATCGTTCTTAACATTATCAAATACATTTTCTCAATATACTGCAAGAGCACAACTGTCTGAATATAGTTCGAACCGGTTTCAAGTGCAAACTATATCATGTATCAAGCTAATTATTTGATCTTTAACCATGTTATACAGATGACCAAATTTTTGAAAAGGAATGACATGTTTGCAAATACTTCAATAAATTTGAACAGTCAAGGTAGTGATGAGATCTTAGTGGAGGAGACTATTTACTATCATAGAGCGGCCGCTGTGTTTAGAATGTATAACTTAAAAACACTGCTTGATGTCCCGTAGGATGAAATTACAATTTCGCTCTTTTTATTCTTTCACTTCAGATGTTAGATATATTGAGTAACAATTAATGTCAATTAATGTATTTGATAATGAACTGAGTATAACAGGCATGTACCAACGGCGGTGTGTACGTACGCCCCATTGCACCGTATATTGGTTGGCGACAACATGACGAGGTACTCTATAATCCTCTTCTCTATTCCCAAGAACGGCGTGAAGCCCCGCCGGAGCTCATCGACGCGGACCAACCTAGACGTCGGAGCTCATCGACGGCGGATCTCCAGTGATCGACCGCGAGGCAGGCGTGGTCGACCGGAAACATGCACAAAAGCATGGGTGGTTTCGGTCGACCGCCAAACCCTGTAGTGGATTTTAGTTTCTGTCGATTGGTTGCGGTCGACTGTGGCGGTCGACCGCGAGACCCTGTAATGTTTCCTGGGTTCTGTCGTTGGTTTCGGTCGACCGCCGCGGTCGACTGCGTGTCGTGTTGGGCCTTAGGCCTTGTTTCCTATTTGTTTTAGGATTATGTTTTGATATATATTGAAACATGATTTTCTAGGGTTCCAGAGGAGAGAATAGAGAGACTTTTGAGCATATTGAGAGGGAGAATTTGTGAGCAATGTGAGAGATCTTTTGGTTGGGTATTTGAGAGATTTGTAACATTTTGTACTCTCCTTTGATTTAGTGGAATCTCCCTATTCTCTCCTCGTGGACGTAGGCAAATTGCCGAACCACGTATATCTCCGTGTTTACGATTGGTTTGTCGTATTTTGGATTGGACTGCTCCTGTGTTTGGTTTGGTTATGTTCTCTCGTCCTCACGAACTCGTTCGGTGTGCGAGCAAGCTTCCACAAAGGCGCACAACAATTGAAGAATACAGGTTTGGATCTCTAGCGTCGACCGTGTTTGAGTCAGAAATTGTTGTTTTCATTGTCATCGAATCTTTTACAACTTCAGTCGATACAATAAACTCAAATAAAAATGTTAATCTTTTTATAAGACCTCCTTAAATAATAAAAATAAAAGATTATAATTTCTTCAAACAACACACAATAGATGTTTATCGCCTATTGTTTGCGTGGGAACTTCGCCTGTGCCGGGGACGTTGATATCCGTGGACCGTCGCGGATCAGATCCGGTTAACAGATTGATAATCAAAGCTCCTACTTCACGAAGGAAGTATTCGCAGAAGTGATAATCCCGACTAAGCGAGATCACGACTCTTCTCGGGATTAAGACCAAGCTTAAATCCGGAGGAATGGGGGGAAATAGGTCTCTGATCTCTCGAACTCTCTTTTTTTGTTGAGGAACCTCGTCAAGATCTGCCAACCCTCTGAAATTCGTGCTCCACTCTCTAATTTGGCAGCACTTCGCCCTCTTGATCTGCAGCCTTTGTGAAATGAGCCCCTAGGCCTGTATATATAGGCTTCGGTTGGGGGTTTTCGGATAACAACGATGGATTTGGTCTTATCCTTAGTTGACAACCGTGTAACCACATTTAGAGATAACATCTAGGCAGTTAGGAACCTCTGGAATAGAATAAATCCCTGTTAGGGTTCTGGTTTTGAACCTACACTCTTGTTTTGTTTTGATGAATTTATAAACAATTTATAACTAATTTTGTTTTCTAGTGATTGTGACTTATTACAGGTTTATATCAGAGTTAAAGATCCATATCAACTATGTTTACAATCATTTAGGTATTATTGTATATATCGTATGTTATTCTCTAAGCTCAATATATATTTATACACACACTTAACATCATGTTTACATTGTATTGTTTTACAAAAGTTATGCAATACACCTCTTTATCAAAATCAAATGTATATATTTACATATTTACACTTATATGTGCACATTTGCTAAAACGATGATATTTTACAAATGGAAAATGTAATTTCCAAAATTTCTTCACAAATATGTTTAATATCATGTTTATAAACTATTCCTAAAGTTTCACATTTTTTAGAATTTATTTGATATTTTTAACAAGGTTCAAAGTTAAAAATTTTCTGTGTACATGTTTATGAGTCGACTCATGAACAGTATTGAGTCGACTCACAAACTGCTGCATAGTTTAAATTTTGTTTCTGGTGAGTCGACTCACAAACATCATGAGTTGACCCATCAGGTTGAGTCGACTCATGCCTGTCATAAGTCAACTTACAAACTGTGCTGGAAAATAAGTTTTGTTTCTGCTGAGTCAACCCATGACTTCATGAGTCGACCCATGCATGATGAGTCGACTCATGAATTGAGTCGGCCCATAAGTTGATTTTTAGCCTATAACGGCTACTTATGAGTCGACTCATGAATAGTACTGAGTCGACTCATAACAATGTAATGGCTACTTTTAGTTTTTGTCTTCTTCTGGCTTTTTAGTCTTTATACATGGGTTCTTGCTGACGTTTTGGGATGTTATAAACACCCCAGTGTATTTAACATTCTGACTAACCAAGAGATTTGTTTAATTAAGTTTACAAGTGTTTAAGAGGTGTTT